CACCTGCCTGACCCGGCTCCACCCGGCCCAACCTGACCCGGTACCCCGCTGTCCACCCTTCCTCACCTCCTCCCCCTTCCCCTTCCTCTCTCTTCATTCTCCCTTCCTCATTTTCTTCCTATCTTACTTCTTCTTTATTCTCTCTTTATTCTACACGGACAACCTTCTTTGTATCAATGTACCATTGACCCATCTGCTGCGCACCCACCATGTACCCAGCCCAGGCACTTCGGGCGACTTCCCGCTGTGCCCAGCATGCATGCATGCACCAGATGGCCTCGGGATCTCCCACGGAGACACCTGGGTGGTTACGGCTGTGTGCGAGGGTGACGTGGCACTTGTCATGTGATCTAAGCCGCATGTATATAAACGAACCTGAAGTGGGAACCGAAGAAGTAGCCTTCTTCTCAACTTTCCACTTCAGTCTAAGTGGCCAGGGACCACTGTCCCGCATCGGGCCTGCCAGTACGCACGCCCGATCCACCCCCCACCAGGCTCTCAGCCCCAGACGCTACACCCGGGCTCCCTCGACCCCGGATGAGTCCCTGACAGGATGGTATGTTCTGTTCCCCCATTCGCCTCAGGCCTCAGTTGGTCCGTCTAAGTATACGCTTTGATGGGCTGTATATTAACGGGGTAGAAAGGCTGATCTGCCTTTTACAGCTACCCCGAGGGTTTATATACATTCTTTTGCATTCTCGGCACAAATAAATAGAGAAGCTTCCACAACGCTAAATTAGCATCACGACATACATATCAGACAACACAACATCAATTGATGTTGTGGGTGGGATATAGATATGGGCTGGGGCCTCACACTGGAGGTAGAGAACGGGCGGAAGGACTGTGGCCTCAGCGACTTGGAGAGGAGCGCTGTGCCTACGTTCGGTAACGCTTAAGAGTCTGGTCCTTAACTTCAGAACAAGGGGTGTGAACTCTGGGGGATAGTCATTTGTCGTCGATTTTGCACTGAGGTGCCATCAACTACAGTACATGACTTATATACATAATACAAGACAAATTGGAAACAAAGGGAAAACCCAAGAGGGACTTACCCACTTGCCAGGTTGGCGAGCTCATGAGAGAATTGCCTTATCGAGCATTGTGGAACTTACGTCTCAGTGCGAAAGCGAGACATCGATGCTCAGAATGTGGTTGGTTTGAGATGGGTATTTGTGATAAAGAGGAATGCAAACAGAGAAGTGGAGCGCTATAAAGCGCACATGGTTGCGAAAGGTTTTAGTCAGGTCCACATGATCGATTACGACGAGACCTTTGCACCTGTGGTCAAATGGACCTCCATTCAAATACTCCTAGCCCTATCCACCTGTCTCAATCTCGAACTTCATCAAATGGATGTAAAAACCGCCTTCCTCAATGGCAATCTAGAGCACGAAATCTACATGGATCCCCCTCCTGGATGCGATGATTATGGGTGGCCCGATATTGTGTGGAAGTTGCAGAAGAGCCTCTATGGACTCAAACAGGCGTCACATGCCTGGTACAAGAAGGTGAAAGCTGAACTCAACAAACTCTACTTCACATGCTGTGAATCAGACCATGCAGTATTCAGCTGCTTCTATTGCTCCCAGAACCCTATCCAAATGTTCTAGGTGCTGGCGGAAGGAGAGCGAGTAGACCACGATGTCATCTATATACACCAGGGCGAATTGCCATAGAAAGGGGGCCAAGACCTCCTGCATCACTCTCTGGAACACTGGGGGTCCATTCCTCCAATCGAAAGGCATTCTGGTGAATTGGTATAGCCCTCTGTGAGTACGGAAAGCCATTTTGTCTCTTGACTCCTGATCGAACTTGAGTTGTGTAAATCCAGACAGGGCGTCGAAGGTGGACATGTACTGGGCCCCTGTCAGCTTGTTGTAGACTATCTCTCAATATTGTAATTTATCTGAGAGCTCACTGCACTTGACCCTTCTAGTGAGGGTCGGCAACCAAGGTTGTGACTGCCCACAGTTTTGTGGCTGTGCTGGCTATCCCAAAAATAGCGGGACGTTTTCCTCTGCACACAATGAAGATAGTATGCAAATAAACATAGGATGTTGTTTGTAGTGACCTATATTAGTGCACCTTAGGTTTGCTTTTTCTCAAATGCGCTCACCACTGGTGAGGAGAATTAAACTTATATTTCTACCTGAGGTTTGAGAGGGGGCAGAAGTGGCAGCCTTTTATGCTTTTCAGAGACCTCTCTACTTGGGGTTTTGTTATAGACCACAAGAAGATGATGTGGACATGAGGGAATCCAGAGATTACAATCAGGTTTACAGGTGGTGGAACAGTGGTGTGGCAATTACAATCACAAAGTGATGGTTTGGGGGTTATTCATTAGATAAGGAAAGTCATTCTTGGCATCTGCCTTACACATCATCTGACTTCTAACTATCTAATATAAAAGTCACAATGGTCAAGGGAAAATGAGACCTGCTTCTCTACTGCACCGGTGGCACTACCAATCGACGTCGAGATCCAGGATGCTCTCACTGACATTGATTGGACCAGCACATGGGGTTTCTCACTTCTCAAAGATGGGGCTAGCTAATGAAATCCATTTCAGTTTCTCGTGACATACATGAGCATGACTCGAGAGGTAGATGTACTACAACACTCCCCCTCAACCTAGCTCTTGTCTTCTAAGCCCTAGTAATTGGCATTGGTCTTGATGGAGATCTTTACTGAGAGCCTTGGTCAGGATATCAGCACAATTACTGCTGGATGGTACCCATGCTGGGCACAGCAGGAAGTCGCCCGAAGTGCCCAGGCTGGGTACATGGTGGGCGCGCAGCAGATGGGTCAATGGTACTTAGAAGGGAACCTGTTGGGACTAGAGCCTGACACTCAGTTGGACTCTGTTCTGTTGGTGCCAGTAGGCCAGACAGAATATTGGATGCCAGGATCATCTGTATTAATGATCCTGGTGGGTTTTCGTACTACAGTGGGTTTTACACCAGTGTTAATCACGTTAATATTAATGCATGAGGTTCCTGCGAGTTGGGTGAATATGATGCACTGTTTGATTGCTGAGACAGGTCGCCTGTGCGATCTCCCGGTTTTAGACATTAGGACAAGGAGATGCTTGATCTCTGCGGCAGTGTGCTTGATCATGAGACAGTGGCAGTTGTCATATCCATCCCCGGCCATCGACTTCCACTCCCTCCGACCCCTCTGGTCTACCTCCGCTCCTTCTTCACTAACCTTGGAGCTCCCATATTCCACAATCACCTTGGTACCCCTTGATGGTCACCACCCCCTCTTTTCAATTTATTACCTACGCCTCCCTAAGTACAGTGTCGGAGCCTCAGGCACTGCAATACTAGTTTGAGTTCACTTCAACGCTTTCTTCCCCTGGCCAGACCTGCCCCGCTTCCCCAAATTATTCCCAGCTGACTCTCTGTCTGATGCTGAAGATTCCTGGGAGGATGTTGGAACATTGATGATCCCCGCCTTCCAGCTCCCTTTGTCTCCTTTCATCCTACCCTTGTTCCTTTTGATTCCGGACCCCTCCTTATATACAATGTACCTCGTAACTTGTAACCTCAGTCCGAAATCGACTTGATTCCCCCCTAAGAGACTGTCAGGGATGGCTCTGAAGAGGTGGGGGTAATGGCATAACGCTCAGTGCTAACGGCCTGGATGGCAGCAGGGCAGTGAGACTGTATAGTGGGTAGCCCTTGAGACGAAGGAGTGTCTCCATGGTGGAGGGCTTTGGCCTCAGTGACTTGTGCCAGGAGCACTGTGCCAAGTAACATGTCCATGCCCTAACTTACTAAACTGGCAACCAGAACTGAAGGGGGTAAACTCTAGTCGATTTTATTACATAAGAGGTACCGGAGAAGGTACCAGAGATCGGAGGCAGAGGTGGACCGGAGGTGTACCAGAGGGTATGGCAGAGGTGTGGGGGGAGGACGGACCGGAGGTGGATTGGAACAGTGGTGGAGTAGAGTGGAGGTTAGGCAGAGTTGGTATGGATGTGACAGTAGCAGGAATTGATGCAACTTTTTGATTACAAGAATGGCCATTCCTTTTGACCTGGTTCTGCTGTGAAGCCATGCTACAATAGGATCCCTCATCAGTACCCAACCCCATCCCTTATGAATGCACTTAAAAGAGTGAAAAGGGCCCACTTTGCACGCGAATTTGGGCTTCGGCAACTGCTGCATGCACTCAATAACCACAAATCCCGCTGCCCAAATTTCTCCTTCATCTCATAGTGTCTTGATTTTACAGATGAACTGAATATTTATTGTATTGGATATATCTAGGTATTGGTAGGTTTCATTTTTAAAATTAATGGCATCTTTCATGTTTTTCACTGTGATTTCTCACCATATCTCAACAAAGAAGCATATTCAAAATGAAAAAACACTCAAGGTGCACTGGTATGGGTCACCAAGAACACTATTTTGCAATCACTTGAGTTCTATAAGAGTCAAATGTCCCACTGTTCCCAGCTTTATTTGCAATAGACAGCACAGCCACGGGTGGGCGAACAGTCGTCAACCTGAATTGCCAACCCCCATTTACAGTGGGCATGCCAGCCCCATAGTAAAAAGAGTTGGATGAAGGAGGACAAGTACTTCCAGATCTGACTTGTTTTGTTATTTTCTGCTTTATTTGCATTTATTTTCCCCGAGATCCCCCACCATTGGCGCTCTCATGAGCAGCCCCTGAAGTTTGCAGGTTAGATATCCAGAATAAAACAGTGTTGGAATACGAGTCACATGATTAGATTGAACCGGAATATCCGAGAATATTCTACAGGTTACTAGGCGCCTGCGTAAGCGCTGGGCATAGAAGAGCCTGGAATGTTATTCAGGAGTATAAATATGGATGCTTTAGCACCGTATGTTCTTTAGTTAGTTACAGTTATATTTCTTTCTATATTACATCTGGGTTGCGAGTGAACCGCTGAAGCGGGTTGCCATATTTGGAACGCCGCGTTTACAACAAACAGAACAGTCACTACCAACGGCCCAAGTCTTAAGATGTCCTCCCCAGGCAATGGGAGAGGAGACAAGATTGGAAGTGAGTGGGAAAGACTGATTCCTGATGGTTTGTTGCCACCTGGTATTGTTTTCTTGCCCACTCAAATGTGGCGATATCGGATTTTTAGGCGCACTTGATGAAACGATAGTGAGGATATCAGGTGATGAAAGGGTCGAGACTGCTTGTGAAGTGAGATATGCGCTTTTCCCAACGAACCTACGTGATGGACTCATGAGAATCGCTCCCCGGAACAGAGGCTAGTTTCCAGTGACGAAGTCTCATGTTTGCTTGTCACCAAGACCACCCCCGATGGCAAGCCTCATGAAGTGAGTAAGACCCACAGCAATTCATATTCGGACATCCTTTTGCTGTAAACATGAACAGGAGTACCTTGGACTATTCGATGTGAGTGATGGTCCAGGACTTGCAGCTCCATGAACTCCCACCAATCGATTTTACATTTCGCTCTAGTTCGCCGATGTGAACGTGTTCCTTCTTCTGGCTATAGGAGCGTATGTACCCTCAAGTGAAGAATTAGCGCAAGACTCCCAACATGCAGGCCAGCTGCGAACGATTATAACTGCTGTTAAAGAAGGATCCGATGTTTTGTGAGTCTTGCCTTGCTCTATGCCCTGAAAACTCTCTGGCATTTTCGTGACCTTTCGGATCTACAGCGTTAAAGATGCTTTCAACCTTTCTGAGAAGAATGACCTACTATTGCTCCAGGAGGACCAATCAACTGTTATTTCCCTGCTCCAGGCTTTCTCCCAAGGGAGACATTGGTGAATACCTGGAACCCTCCGCGATTTCGCTGTTAACAACTGATTTTCATCACTACTTTAGCATTGTGATTAGAAAGATGGATGGCACCGTCAAGGGTGTCTTGTCCGATCGACGATTCGTTCGATGGCTTGCAGATGATGTGAGCACCCATCTTGCCCGCCTGTTCGTTCTTCATCCTGGATTCCAATTCCCACCATACATGACATCACAGGAAAACAAGTTTTCGGACGTAGAATCTACACTGGCATTGCCTCTATGCGAGCTTGAGATAGGTGTTAACAAACACGTTGTATCACTGTCGAGTGAAGCTTCCGTCTTGGATGCAATGCGACTTATGTGTGAAGAGAATGTCAGCAGTGTCGCCGTCGTTGACACCCAAAACTTACTCTCGGTACACCGTTATCCTACACCGATAAAGCCATTAAAGCCAACTGATATGGAATTTCAGGCCGTGTCCGTCACCGATATCGGAAAGCTAGTGGCTACTTCTGAAGACCGTGCTGTTCTAACGCTTCCTCTTAATCAGTTTATTTCAATGATCAAGGTCAGCTATGATCTCCCCTCTAGATAATCTGGTGATAATCATTTTGAGGTCAAAGTTTCAGCACGGCTTCACTGACGGCGAGGATCTATATCCAGTGTATAGCGTGACTCCTCTGAGCTCCTTCAAACATACCATTGATTTGCTCTTGGCTAGTTCGTGTGCTCTTGGTGTCCTTTTGATATTTCGAATGACTGAATCCGTTTCTCCGCAGCTAACGCCCATCGAGCATTTATTACGGCCACACCGTCCTCCTCACCTACTCTCAACCCTGTGCAGCCTCGCTCAGGATCTTTCATGCGGATGCTTCCCTCGCCATATTCCGTTGAATCATCACCTCCGACTCCATCTGGACTTTCGCCTACTACGGGTCCGGCTTCACCGTTGTATGGGGTCGTTTCGGTAGTGGACATACTTTTAGTTATCGCACGCATTGCAGGACTAGTCAACATCGATCCTAATGCGATCCGCGGGCAGAGGAAACATATGCGAACGAGCTCTCTGAATTCCACTGGCGTTTATGCTGGCAGCCTTGGACGCTCATCGCCAATGAACCAAAGGACAAGATCGATGTGAATACAACAAATTTCTTGGTATTGCATGTATATAATTAATAATGAATAACTGCCGCCCACCGACTTCCCCTTCACTTTAGAGCCTTCCTTCCTGGTTCGATGCCCCTGGGAGCTCTCGACATAGATATCAGTTCTTTGATCGTCGCCACCAGAATCGGGGCAGATATTGGGGCGAAGAGTGGTGTGTACACGGCGTACTTGTGCTCGGGAGGAAAATAGAGCATGGCAAGCATTCCTGGGTTGAAGAATGCACGAGAAGAGAGGGTAAGTGCTTGAATAGAGTTTTGCAATATCGACAGGGCCGACGGTGATGAGTGCGCCTATGCGAGGCTATCAATATTGAACAACCGCTGGATGCTGCACCTGCACCTTACCTTTTCGAGGTAATCTAAGGAATTCATGACATATTTCTGAACGTCTGCTTTCACTGGCATACCCTGTATTTGGTGAACAAGCGTTACGATACTTTCCAAAGCCTCTTGGCTGTGCTTGACATTCTCGAGTGCCCGGGTCCGAACCAAATAATCAATCTGCCATTGACTTAGGGTGAAGGGATCATCCGCAGAGTTCAACACAGGAGGGAGTTCAGGGACGCCAAGAAGCGCATAAAGCTGAGACCTGAAGAGCGTAAATGGTTGCAATAAATCCTCAACGGATAAAATGTAACCCGTCGAGTTTTGGAGAGTGGCGGGGGGGTTCATTATGACAATCCCGCCCCACTGTGGGATCACGAAAGCGTTCGCGCTGGACGGTGTGCCTGTTTTCGTCCGTTGTCGCATCTGAATTCTGGGATACTAGTACACTTACCGTTGGTTTTGATGACCTTCATTGGTCTGTGCCCTACAGAGGGTATGAAGAGTAGGAAATGCAGAACAACGTCATTGTTGATGGTCGAGGCTGCAACAACAGCATGTGTCAGTGATGAACAACCCCTTTGAAGCATCCTACCGAGTGTCCATTCTTCGGAGTTCACAAATGTCTTGATATGGTCCTGATCCAGATGATAACTTGGAGCAGACGCGTTATCATCCATCATGGTGGTCACAATATGGGGCTCGAAGGCCAATGGAGCATGATACTGAACTTGACTCTCGATGGTGAACTTGTAAATCATAGAAAGCTCCCTTAATGAGCGGCGCAGGTGCCCTAGGAATACCAATTGACTCAAAATCAAAATCCGTTCTGGAGGGACTCACGGGTAATCGCAGCCTCAATGTCCCATGCCATAGCAAAACCTCCGAGGGACGAGTCCTCATTTAAAAGCGAGAATGCGAGGCGATATGTTGGCGAATATTGTGCCTTGACTGGCGGTGAAAGAGGATTGATGAGGGACTTAAGTGCACGAATAACGGCGTCGGTTGATTGTGATGGCACTTTAAATAGTCATTAATCCATTTAACCCCGCAGTGCGAAGTAGATTACCGTCTAAGGGAACTTTCGAAGTCAGTTCACGTCCACGCACAAATATTTCTGGTCCCCCCGCATGCGAGGGAAGAATGGAGAGAGTATAATGGGTAGCATCATCTACATCGCAGCGTGAGTCACACCATCAAGTGACAGAAAAAGCTTTCTCCCCTAGAGGCAGGTGTTTGGGACATTCGGTGAGCCACGTGAAGTTGACGCCGTCTGGGAATGGTTCTCTCTCAAGCAAATCGGCCAATTGGGCCATTACGGGGCGCGCTTGAGGCGGCCCTTTGGAGCAAGCAGAAACTGGGAACACAATCTTACAAAGGATATTTAGCACACAACAGGTTGAAAGAATTGAAAATGCCTACCTTCCTTGCCGTTTCGTCGTGCACCTGGCTCTCCGCAAGCGGTAAGCGCTCAATGCGAGTCGTATACCACCATAAAGGTACGCTGACAAAGATGATGATCCAGTAGGAAAGAATTACAATTCGACGCGTAGGTGTTTGCTGCTCTTCTAGGAGCTTGTTGGCAGCCTCATCTTCATCCATCTGGCGAACGAGGCAAGGTAACGTGAGAGGTGGGCACGGGCACCACGTGATTCAACCGTCCGTAACAGTACGTAGTACTTACTACTCACCGCTACGTGGACGCACAATCTCGACCAAGTTGTTTTTGTATTACAATTCAGTTTCAGAGGCACAGTCCAATACAAAAGTCACATGTTACGTATATAAACTCAACTTCGAAACTGAATTGTAATACAAAAACATCGTCCAACCCCCGATCTGACCGTATGTTGCACTGTAGATAGGCTTTGATCACTGGTTTGGGCTCGGCGTCCTATCCATTTCAATAGGGGCCATATCCGGGGGGGCACAAAATCCGTGGTTCACGTCATGTGAAAATCGCATCTGATCCCACCTCAAGGCCATCACGCACATTCATCCCTGTCGGTTATCGTTGGGGTTCTTGACAGGCCTCTCGCTGGTAAGGGCACTCTCGTCGAACCTTCTGCCTGTATCGACACCTCTCACATCACACCCTGTATTCGACAGATATTGCTGAAGAATCCCCTCGTCGCAGCTAACTGAACACGACCGGAGGCGCTTAGTGCGTCGCGGTTAAAGGACACTCTTCAGCCAATCGAGCCTCCGGGAAATACGTCATCTGTGTGGAACGGTGATTGCTTTCGACGTCCCATGCAGTTCCATAGCCTTTTCGTAGAGATATCCGACTAAGGAGGCTGGAGGCTGTACCCTTGCACCGCTGGCGTCTCGTTGTCGTTTCCTTCGTCCAGGCAACGCGCTACAAAGGCCGATCTCCCACTCCGATTCCGTATGGCACCTTTCACAGGCATAACCAGTACGAGCCGCTTCATCCCCACATTTCCTCTGAACGGCGAACACATACCTACCTACCCTGCTCCTCACTCGCGCACGGAGACTTAGATCTTGCTCTCTGTTGTGGGACATCCCCAGAATAGTAATCAAAACTCTGTGTTCGTCTACTTCCATCGAATGGCCTCAGCCGGCGGGATTGTTGGCAGTTGTCGCAACCCTCTGCACCCCGATTTCCACGCTACCCCTAGTGGGATCACATTCACATTGGGTCTGAGTAACCGCGAACTCCTCAGTCGGTGCTGGTCAATCCCAGACGGTGCAATCGGACAGAACCTGACCCGACGTGTACCCCCGCCACCATCCACATGGCTATTCAGCTGAGCACGCATTTCATTTACAGATCAGCAGCGCGACCCGCGCACCCTTGTTGAGGGGCCTGCCCTGTTCTTGGCTTTCCAAAGCAACTACACCATGCCGAGGAGATACAAACCTGCATTAAAAGGTGTCAACGTCCCTCTTGGTGATGTTCCTATGTCTGACCACAGGTATTTCATTGTCGGTCCTTGCGCACGGTAGTCCGTGAAGGCGTATGCTGGTTCCACTGTGAATTGTCGCCGTGCCACCTTCTTTTTCGCTTTGCCTTTAAATAATTCCAGACTCCGAATGACTGGAAAAATTGGATCGTGTTTGTCGGAGGTCTGCATTCCGAATTGAACACATATTTTTATAGCCTATATTCGCGAAACAATGAAAAAAAAATAGAAACAGATCCACGCTGGGACAGGCGAAAGGAAACAATGGCTGTGCAGAGTCAAGGGAAGCGCGCAAGCACTCTAGTTATAGATATGGAAATAATCACTTGAACAGGGCAACTGCGGAAGCTTACCAAGCACTTGACCCGTTCCTGAAAAATAATCGGGGACCACCAAAACTGAGGCGGTTAAATACTTCAGGGGAAATAAATTAAGGAAAGGTCAACTTACTCGGAAGCAAAAGTATCAATTCAGTTTTGAACCTTCACCCAGGTCTTCAAGGTACTGAAATCTCGTTGGATCACTAGGCCATTCTGCCTTCCTGCTGCACTTCCATGCTCTGTGATGCTCCTCAAGGGGGTGGTGTTTGAAATTCGCATGGTCTCAGCCTTGATTTTGATGGATGCACACAAGTACATTTGGATGTATTTGGGCTGACTGCTTTTCCCTGAAGAACAGACAATGCCGACCCGGTTCTCTAAGACCCGTAAGCACCGCGGACATGTTTCCGCTGGTTATGGACGTGTAGGGAAGCACCGTAAGCACCCGGGTGGTCGCGGTCTTGCTGGTGGTCAACACCACCACCGGTGAGTGCTCCCGTTGCACACCAACTCCTTTTTCAGTTTCCTCACCCTCGACTCTAGGACAAACATGGATAAGGTGCGGTTGGGGGATTTGGCGAATGAGAATTCCACTCATTTCACAAACTTAGTACCATCCGGGTTATTTTGGTAAAGTCGGTATGCGCTATTTCCACTTGAAGCGTAACCCGTATTGGTCCCCGACTATCAATGTGGACAAGCTATGGTCCCTCGTTCCTGAAGAGGAGAAGGCAGGGCTCAGCTCAGAAAGCGAGGTTGTGCCTGTCATCGATATTCTCGCCCATGGGTATAGTAAACTTTTGGGTAAAGGATTGTGCGTACATTTATCCATAGTTGCATTGATATTGTTCACTAATGTCATTATTCTTTCAGTCTGCCAAAAATGCCTCTGATCGTAAAGACTCGGTCGGTTTCTTCCAAAGCAGAGTGCGTCCGATCCCATCTTTTGAACTGCCGTCATCGTCTAATTCCCCAATAGGAGAAAGATAAGAAGAGCTGGTGGTGTTGTCAAGCTTATAGCATAATCTCGAAGGCAACCTGAGGTATCACAGGTGACCCAGGAAAGTAGGCGAACTGGATGGTGCTAAGCGGGAGGGTACATTCGCAGTATTCAAACGTACGCCGCACGGCACCTGTAGTGAGGTCATTAAACCACTGTAGAGAAGCCAAGATACCAACGTGCTTGAGGATGTGATCGTCATGAGTGAACGGAACCGGAGGTACGTGTTGCAACGAGAGCATAGCGACGCTGTCGGTGCGCACAGGCATCCATTTTCATCAAACGACGTCTCACCAGGGGTGTCAAGAGATATGCGTCCCAACCTTCGCCTCCAAATCTAAGTAGATTCCTACTGCTTTATATATCACGTCCTCGCGCTAATGAAGCCAAACTGCCCGCTTTTGTGGATTCCGCAATGCTCCCTTGTTTCATTTTTTGGAAGCTGATGGCAATGACGGAGGGTGTCTGAGCCTGGGATAGCGGCTTCTGTGACATTTTCCAACCAAGAGTGAGGAGATTTTTCGACTCCGTTTTTGGAGCCTGCGGTAAGGGGAGTCGAGATGTTGTCGGTGCAACGCCAGCATCGCACTCCGCACATATGTCGCTATCACCTGTCGTGATGGCTGGAGTCCGGTGGTGTCACGAGCTGAGACGGCATTGAGAATTCAGGATAACGTACAGGCTGGGGGTTAAGGAGATTGCCATTTTATTATAATTATATGAGTGATATCTTTTTACAGGTGAAGTAGAAACGGGAGGCTTTACAACATCCAAGAGAGACGTACATGAGTGTTTAGTTGAGGCTCTAGTAGACACGGTAGCGCCCCAAGACCAAAACCCGGACCTCCCAACCACATACACAATCACTACCACCCCCCCCCTTTCCCCTGCCTCGAGTCTAGGTGATGACATTGTCGCGTGCAAGAGGAAGAAAAAACATATGGTTAAACCGTGACTCTAAGGACACATTATTCACAACAACTCCCTGTGAAATTCTGGAAAAGGACAAACGGCTGGAGGAGGCAAACCAGAGGGCGGGAGCCGAGTGGGAGCGGAAAATGGTGGAAGGAAAATAAAAGAGAAGGGACAGGTGAGCTGACGTAAAAGAAAGCATGTAAAGGGAAAATGATGACAAATTTTCAGCGTCGCCAATTGCGTATTGGGAGTGGTTAGTGACTCTGTGTGTAGAGTAAAGAGTAATCTGTCAATCCTCCGAGCTCAACGGGCAATTGAGTTTAAATGATTCTTGATCTACGTTGCATCTGACATATTTGACTGTAGGTATGAATATTCCAAATCGATTTGACTTGATGCGTTAGGGGATGGGAAGTTGTGGAGATCATTACGATTTTGATGAGTGGACGTACCCCGCTGCTATGGGCAAGATCAGAAATTCAGGAGGACACGAAAATTTCCCATGCGGCGATGTTCAGAATCAACAAACAAGATCACACGATGGCGAATATGATACGCTCGTAACCCGCTCGCCTGCATCCCTTCCTTCTGGCGCATGTTCTGCTTTCCTTGTTTTGCCACGTCTTTTGATACAGACAGTGTCTCAGAGGACCCAGCGTTCTCTTCGCAGGCTACAAAGTCCCCCACCTGCTGGAACCTCGCTTCGTCCTCCGAATCCAAACTAATGGCTGCATACCCCCCTCTCAAGCTTCAGGAGGCATGCCGGCAAGTCATTGCCATCATCACTGACTTACAGCAGAAGTTCAACAAAGAGTTTGAGATGAAGGAAATAGATGAAGTTGGTGCTCGTCTTGGTGTTGGGTTGGGTCCATATGGCGAGACCCTTGGCTCAAGAGGCATTGGGATTTCGGTGGCTCATGGACAAGCAGAAGAATATTCACTCCCTCACTTATTGTAATTTGAACCAAAGGTTGCAGTATTAATCCGCATCGATGCTCGACACAATGGACCTCAGCGACATCTAATGCATTGACAAAGCTATGTTGCAACAAGAAATGATAAAGATATACACAAAAAGATTGAGATCCGTTGTCCGATCATCATCGCAGAAGTCCAGTCTGAGTCATACTCATGTATTTATCCAAATCGGCATCAAGATCGGCAGCAACCGCTGGACGGTCACGCGCCAATGCGAGTCTCTGGGCCCGTTTTGCCGTACGTCTGGGACCTTTCTTCACGCGGGCTCGAAGTGGTTGGTTGATGTAGCTGGTGGGACCATGCATGAGCAAACATTTAATATCGAGTGTTGTAACTCACGTAGTGTTGGATCGAAGTGTTAAAGCCACGGCCGAAGGCGTTGGGGGAAGGCGTTGAATTGGGAGAGGCGAGGCCACAGGGGGCCCAAACGTTGGGAGAGGCGAAGAGGCGGAGGGGCGTTGACATTTTGTGTTGGTTGAGGATGGATACGGCCGGCTAAGCTACGCGGCTGGGTGGCTCCATTCAGGCCACCGCGAGGAAACTCTGGCTCTTCAGTGTCGATAACGAGTCTCACGCGAATCGGAGAGCCTGGAGTGAACTCGCTACGCGTCCAGCATTGAAATCACACCAACATTGGCACTCACGTCCATCAATGACTCGACCATGGTATTTCTAAGGGATAGGGGATTGATCAGTGATGCAACATTGGCGAGAGCAATCCTCACCCTTCGTGCTAAAGCTGCGTCAGAAGGATGACTGAACTGGACATATCCCTTCCCCTTGGGATAGCCCTGTCGCAATTGGTTGGCGCCAATTCTTGGATCGGGATATGGAAAAGCATACTTTGTCATTATACAGAAGATACGCGTCCACTACATATCCAACCTGTAGTTGAATCAGATACCTCCCAAGTGCTCGAAAGAAGGTTGCTTGCCGTCGTTGCAAAAAGCTCCTACAAAAGTTCGCCGCTTAGCTAGTAGAACCTGTATTCTGACGTCGACGACAAACCTCAAGTTCTCCAGGTAATGCATCAAACGGAAGTCCTTCAATGAGTATCGCGGAACCTGGAACACTGAGAAAAGAAGTTGGATTCGATGCAGCGCCCCATGCATGGTGAACTTACGGTTGCAAGTGTACTTTTAGTGCATTATCTTTGGCCTCCTGACGAGCTTGGTTAGCGGCATCTCGGCGTTTCATAGTCTCTTTTTCTCGTTGCTGATCTCTCCATGATGGTGGTATTGTCGACCGAGGCCCATGAGGAATGACGGTTTGTCGGGCTGCAGGTCGTCTCCTTGAATTATGCATAACCGCGCAGTGGCTATCTGTGATGCTGAGAAAAACGCGCTATGCGAAGCTAGATAGAGGCCCGAGAACGTTAAAAGATAAAATCTGAACCTCGCGATATTTGGCTTGTGAGGTGATGAATACACGTGATGAGAATTTTCAAGACTAGAGGGCGTGCTTCGCATCGCAACGACCTGCACAGCATTCACGGAAGAATGAAGGATAACGCGGAAAGTGCAATGAATGATATGTACAGTCAAGAAATGGTACATCAGAGGAATCAGCATCGGAAGTTATGTACAACGAAATTAAATAGTACACGAGGGTAGGGGGACGCTATGTACATGCAAGTTATGGTACAAGATGTCATCGTGTTAGGAATAAACCCATGCAGAAGAACCTCCCTGGTGTGAAGCGGTATTGGTGACAGCGTGTCATGCAGTTCGAACACAACGAACTTGCATTACGGTTACATTGTTGCAGAACAGGGACAGTGTTATATCGATTTCATGCCGAGGATACAACGGGGGAATTGAGACTGTCCGAACGATGGGCAATAGCCCACCACGTGTTCAAAGAGGGTCATACAGGCAGATTGGGGTGGCAGGGAGGGTTCCCAAGTGTCGTGGAAATAGCAATCAGAGGCAAAGTCATTATAACAACGAACTTAGACATCGACATCGATGTGGTGAACGGAGTTCAAGGGCAGATAGTTGGAATATGGGCTGATCCTTGGGAAGACTCAGACATGACGGGTGCGGTGCAAGAAATGAAATACCCACCGAGTTGCGCTCTAGTGAAATTAGAGTGATATCGAAGTTCGGAAATAGAAGAGCTGGGAGAGTCAACGATTCCAGTCTTCCCCATCCAACGAACATTCGAGGTAAACATGCGCAATGGAGACAAGAAAGTGATCAGATAACGATGGATGTTGCTTACGCTTTTACAGATTATCGAGTACATCGGTATGCCCTTGAGATACACCATTTAACGTGTACGTTACATTGTTCACGAAGACATCATGCAAGACACTAGAGATGGAAGATGAACGTTTGATCGGATTGGCTGTTGGGGGACACCAACTCAATTGTATTATACACGTGATGTCACAGAAGAGTCAAACACGTAAGCACAAGTGGCACAAACTACGTAATTTCACTAGGTGGAGAGTGACACTGCTGTGCAGGTAATTCGGGCCAAGTTCCGGGGCTGGTTGTCAGGGCATAGCACGTGGACCACCCAACCCTGTCCCTGTCCCCTCTACCTTCCCTGCCATCACTCACATTTCCCTATGTGCGCGAACCCGCGGGAAAAATCACGTGGGCTAGGCGACAAAGTCGCAATGGGAAGAAGGGGTGGTCGGCAATTCCCGGAGCAGAAGGTAGGGGTCCGCACATTCGGTGTCAACCTGCATGTCACCTTGATTAATTGGATTCTGCCTGCATGTTTAACGCCGTTTCTGGGTCTCCCAGATCACCAGAACGTAAATAAAAGTAGGGGTGCTGTGGTTTGGTTTGGTTTGGTTCTGGGGCAATTTTTTGAGAACCAGAACTGAACCGGTTCTGTGTTTGGGCGATGATGTCAAACCAGAACCGAACCAGTATATGAACCAAACTGAACCACAACTCGGTTCTGGAACGGTTTGGTTCGGTTTTGGAATGGTTCAAGCAAGCCTCGTATTACTGTCCAAGTTAATTATTGTAATTACACTATGAAGTGCACTAATAATACTTGGAACACGAAATTTCAACCAAACATTAAGAATCTAGGTTGATTCCCACTCTCAATCTCTCTGCAGACATGCAGCCATATTCACACCACTCTTGGGTCTTCACTGCCTCTGAGGTC